CTGGGAGATAATTGAATTACTTCTCAATTATCTCCAGGGCAGAGGGGAGGAAACCATGATGCATGCTGGGAATATTATGTGCCTGTGTGTCCTGGAATGCTGTATGTCCATCTGCCATTACAGTCTCCCATTTGGTCCCCTAGGGGAGTGTCCACCAAGTGGGAGACCTGCATAAATACGGGCGGGTAGCCCACAGTAAACCCAGTTCATGTTTTACCCTCAATGCGGAGCTTGGTCTCGTTATTGGAGGGGAATTTACTACACAAATAGCGACTGCCGGATGGAAGTATTAGCCGCTTGGGAGATATATGGTTTCGGCTGTTGGCGGCGATTCGTGAGTTTACTGATCGGGAAGTGAAGTACCCGTACTGGTCCCGTTTGGGAGATTGGAGTATTCCCCTGCTTGCAGTTCGTATAATTGGAGTTGGTACGAATGAAGCTTGCGTTTTGGTGAGAGGGGAGGATTAACTAAAAGATTTTACTATTTGATGCTGTGAATGCCGTTACAATCTCCCTCCTAGGGGTTTGGGCCCTTATGAAAGCCCTGGGACCCTTGCATTTCTAATAAGTTCCCTTCCGAACTTTGTGCCTTGTGTCTGGGGTTCCTACTATCTTGGCACCCAGTACTGCCAACCATCTGTCAGTGCGAAGGAGTGCTGCTATGGGCATCCCATAGGAGAGGCCAACACTGGGGTTTCCTACGAGGAGCAGAAACAGTTTTTTGAGTCCATATACCCAAGTTGTATGCCCGTTCCCGGACGATGTTTGGAGGCTTCCAAAATCGCCCATGGTAAGGTCGTGAATCCTGAAAGACCTCCTCCGTTGGTCACTATAGTCGCCTGAGCCGTTCTGACCGGCATGAAAGGGCATGGGTTTGTTTGACCGTCAGCGGATATGGACATTCTAAGCAAGAGGCTGCAAAGCCACGAGTGCATAACGTTGTCAAGTAGGTTAATCGTAGTAAGGGATACCCCTGTGTAAGGCACAAACCAGTATTCATGCACAGTATGCAGGGCAAACAGATCAGTCTACTATGACAATAGGCAGTGTTCACAGAAACCCTTGCGGGTCTTATTCCGAATTGTGGCCAAATAAAACAGGCTAGGGCTCACTCAGTACATAGAGGTTGCCATAGCATTCCCTTCGCTCTGCAGCACCATGCAGCGCACGTATAGTGGGGGCTCACCCCGGGTGCACAGGGTATGAACCCTTAAGTGCTGGCCATCGCTCTGATAGAGAGTGTCAGTCACCTCTTCCATTATTAAATTCACCTCAAGGGGAATATATATCGTTAAGTAGGCGGCTCGGAACTCCTGTTCAGCGGTTGTAACCGAATGCCTCTGTTCGGCATTTTAGTGCAGTGCACGCCTAGCCGGGTCCAGTGCATAGGGCGTGGGCCTTTAACTGCAGGCCGCAGAATAGGTACAGGGCATAAACCAATACCTGCTGGGTTCATGATTGATTATCAATGGAGGTATTCCTTCAGCTGTAGGTAGAGGCTGTTGCCGTAAGACTTCCTTCGGTCGGGTAGAGTGACTCGCCTATCATAGGGGTCTCACCCCGAGAGCACTGTGTCTGAACCTGTAAGTACCGGTCCCAGATCCGAAGTTCGGGTTTTCAATCCTGGAGCTCGCTGTTGAGAGGGGTAGGAGTAGAAGCAGCTATGCTGCAGGGGGCTCACCCTGGTTGCACAGGGTATGAACCCATCAGTGCTGGCCATCAGCCTGATACAAAGTGTCCTACAGCTCTTCCAATAATTAATGCACCGCCATGGGGGATATTCTGTGCTGAAGCTTGCGACTCTGTCCCCTTTTTAGCCGAATAGATTTGCTTATACCTAGTCAGAGATCACCTCAGGTGCGCGGGGTATGTACCCGTCAAGCGTGGGTCGCAGCCAAATAAAACAGACTGGATGAGAGCACAATCCATTTCATTGTGTGCAATACACCATGCAGACCCCAGCAGGGTGTAGTAGTGTGCACTTATTGTGTGCAATTTATTGTCTCAAAGTACCAAAACAACCCTAGCAGGGTGTGTGATATGGGGTACCCTAGCAGGGTATCTGTTGTAGTGTAAATAATGCCAGTGGACCCCAGCAGGGTCTGTATAAATGACAGTAAGGTGTAATAACCCCCGCAGGTTATTCTGTATCTGTCACTTAGTGTAGTCAAATTGTCCCAGCAGGGCAAACCACAATATTGTGAATTGTATAACTGGGCCTCACCCAGGATCACAGAGGTGGCCACAGGGCGACCTCCAAAAAGCAGCACGGTAATAGGGGCAGCACCCCAAGCAGGCACAGGGTAATATGGCAGTAATGAGACAAAAGTGACTGACCTCTGAGGGATAATAGGATATTCTGACAGGTAGTCTTAAGTGATGGGGTCATCCCTTTGAGCATCCATTACCAGACATAGAGTCTTGCTGTAGATTCTTGAACCCTGATCCAGGTGATATCTCTTCAACTCTCCCATCACTGATATGTACTTATACAGTACCATCTTGATAGGGTGCTATCCCTTTAAGGAATTCAAGGGTGATATCCCTTTAAGGATTTGGTATCCCTTTTAAGTAGTTCTAGGGTGGTATCCTTTTAAGTATCCCTTTAAGGAGTTCCCTCTAAGGGTCCAAGAATGGTATCTTTAATGAATTTAAGGGATCTATTCATTAAAGGGATTTTTGGGGGTGATATCCCTTTAAGGTTCCAGTACCTCGAACCACTATGTATGACTCAAATCTGTAACTAATAGGCCAGTTAGAATACTTACTTTTACCTGGATTCGAACTTGGAACCCTTGGGATATGTTACTCTCGAGCGCCAAAATTGTGGTGTGCGAGTGTAGCAAAACGGCCGCCCATAATCTCATGAGACGCGAGATTAAAGATGGCCGCTGAGGGTAAAGGAGGGGGAACATGGTCCCTGGAGTCTCAGTAGACGCGGGATCAAAGATGGCCGCCGCGTCATGCTCGGGCTACCTCGTGGTCACCGCACAGACTGCCTGCACCAAGGTAGTGGATGTTGGAAAGCAGTATGGGGCAGCCTGAGAGAGCGAGGGCAGTGAGTCCGACCTTCCCCCTTAGGGTTGTAGGAGGAAGGGGTCAAACGATAGGCCGGAAGAAGGGGTTAATGCCCGTTTGCTGACGGAAACCGCGGGAGAGAAGGGGTTAAGCCCCAGCCAGACCCAGAATCCCCATGAGACCCTGGGGAGAAGGAGGAAAGCAGTGAAAGAGGGTCTCCAGATGCCCCAGGTATAGAAGGCCAGGAAAATCGCCAGAAAAGTCATGATACATATGGTATAAAGTACATCTACCATAACTATACATAAAACCTATTAAGTCAAAAATTAAATTTACACCTAACACCTATTAAATCCATGTTATAAAATACATATGACATCTATTAAATACATATAAAGTACATATAATACTTATCAAAACAAAGGATGAAATGCCTATAAAACTGATAAATTACAAGTGATATTAATCACAACTAAAGGTTATGAAATAAGGATAACGTTAAATCTACATAATATCTATGAAATAACATGGAAAAAACACAGCTGCACATAGTACAGAAGCACAGCAAGAACATACAGCAAAGTACATAAAAAATATAATACGGAAACAACCTCAAAGAGGCAATAGAAACATAAAGTAATGGAGAAGAGTAATACCTGTCTGCTTGATGGAGCAGTAAAGAAAGAGGAAATTATGAGGTCACATTGCCTTATGTACATCCTGCTCTCCTGTGATTGGTTCTTTTTTCTATGTGGTAAAATTACCAATTTTTGTGTAGCCTGATTTTTTTTTAAAAATAAGTGTTATTGTCATCGCCTCATTTACAGAAGCATTAATATACATTTCTATATTGTGTAAAGACACAACTACAAAGTTAAAAACCAAACACCAAAACAATGTGCCAGACAATCTACCTGTGCATGGCTAGTGTGATACAATAAGTCTACATCTTAAAAATGCAATAACCCACAGAAGATGGGCGAGAATTTTTTTTGCAAATGGAACTTTGATTTGAATTTACTACATCGGTCACTTGTAAAATTGTTTCACACCTACAACACTTGTTACACAGATCTAAGTGATAGAAAACAGATTGATATTTTCTACACTAGAAACTACCAGATAACAAGCTGCTATATTTAAACCAGTGATCAATAGGTACTTCAACAATATTGTAATTCTGGGGCGATACCCTCACAAGTCAAACTGAGAGGTCAGTATATAGGGAAAACTGTTGCCTGGATACAATTCTAAAACAATTTCAATATGTCCTTTGCAGACTTTACATGCTGGAAAAACACAGGTGCCAACTGCGGTGGCTTTCTGTAGTGTGCATATCGGCAAGGAGGGCAGGGTTGAGGAGTGGGTGGAAGATGATGTGGAGGATGATGAGGTCCTAGACCCCAAATGGAATCAAGGTCATGCAAGTGACGTGTGCAGTTTGGAGGAAGAGGCGCTGTGGCACAGAGGCACCAGCACAGCATAAGAGGGAGCAGGGTGCAAAAGTGGAGCGGCCGTCCCCTAGTGCTCGTCGGCATGTATTAGCTCGAGAATTACCAGTTATCCAAGTAATACATGTAGCTATCAACGGATCCATAATAGACTTGAGCGAACCGGAACTGCAAAGTTCGGGTTCATACCATATATAACGATCCATTCGTAGTTTCACAGTGAGGTGGGCAGTCCGGTGACAAGGACTCAGACACTGTCAGGATATGACATTCACTGTAGCGGCTGTGCGTGATTTTGGCATTGTCACCCTGCTGCTGCTCGCCTGTCTGCGCTGCAGCGTAACTTCGGCCTTCCCACTCACTGCCTCATGAGACTTTGCGAGCAGCAGCAGGCGATAGTGGAGTTTCAGCTGCAGCACGCACGGGTTAGTGGCTCTGCACCAGACTTCCCTCCAATTGATCAGAGTTAAATGATTTCAAGTGGACTCATTACAATTACAGGGCCTCTAAAGAGTCCTCTATTGTTATTAGTCATCACTACCTTCCCGCTTAGGGAGTGGGTCATTTGCGCGCCTGCTGCCTTACTTGCATGTGGTAGCCATTTCTCAGGGTCCCTGTACAGAATGGAAACCTGATTCCCCGTTACCCGTGGTCACTGGTAGGCGCAGAAACTGGCATCGAAAGTTGATATGGATGACGTCCGCATGCAAAGTCGCCACCATGGGGATGTGCGATTTGCCCGAGGTTCTCTAGAGTCAACAAAGTTCCTGCGCAACTATAATGTCAACAGAACAGAGTTGTCTTTTTTTTATATGTCCCAATATTTTGGGGACTACCCCAATTAAAATATATATATATATATATATATATATATATATGTATATATATATATATATATATATATATATATACACAGTTGCAAGAAAAAGTATGTGAACCCTTTGGAATGATATGGATTTCTGCACAAATTGGTCATAAAATGTGATCTGATCATCATCTAAGTCACAACAATAGACAATCACAGTCTGCTTAAACTAATAATACACAAAGAATGAAATGTTGCCATGTTTTTATTGAACACACCATGTAAACATTCACAGTGCAGGTGGAAAAAGTATGTGAACCCCTAGACTAATGACATCTCCAAGAACTAATTGGAGTGAGATGTCAGCCAACTGGAGTCCAATCAATGAGATGAGATTGGAGGTGTTGGTTACAACTGCCTTGCCCTAAAAAAAACACACACCAGTTCTGGGTTTGCTTTTCACAAGAAGCATTGCCTGATGTGAATGATGCCTCGCACAAAAGAGCTCTCAGGAGACCTACAATTAAGAATTGTTGACTTGCATAAAGCTGGAGATTGGTACTCCCGACACTGGAGAGATGCCAGCGACTGGCCGTTGAACCCGCAGATATTCGCCTATCTGAACGAACGGAAGGGCCATTCCTACTAGATCTGTTTGCCTCACGCAACAACCATCAACTGCCACAGTTTTACAGCTGGCTTCCAGACTCGGAGGGCGATTTCACCCAACACTGGCTGACCCAAGGGGCTTATGCCTTCCCCCCATTCGCTATGATTGCGAGAGAAAGTAAGGTTCAACTCCCCTGGTAGGTGTTCTGTCCTTATCGTGATGTTGCGTGGGAGGCAGTATTCGAAGATTTCCTTAGTCAAATTCACCAGTGTTTGTGAACGAGTCCCTCCCAAATGATTGATGTATCGTACTGCAGATACGTTGTCCATCCGTAGAAGAATACAACAATTGGATTGTCCTTTCGCTAGGCTGCGAATAGCAAATAACCCCGCTAGTAGTTCCAGGCAGTTGATATGCATAGAGAGTTCCTGGGTTGTCCATGTTCCTCTCGTGGATGCTTCCCCATCCGTGGCTCCCCATCCCAGTCGTCTCGCGTCCTATTCCAGCACGAAGTCCGGGTGGTTGCCGAAGATGGCACGACCATTCCATGCTTGCATGCAGTTGATCCACCATTCGAGTTCTTGGCGCACTTCGTCCTTCAGCGGAACTAGTTGGTTGTATGTGGGGTTCCGTTGAAGTAAGCAGGCTTTCAACCGTTGCATTGCACGGTAATGCATGGGGCCTGGAAATAAGGCTTGTATTGATGAGGAGAGTAGGCCAACTGTCACGTACTCATCCACTTATAAAAATGTGGTTAATGGCATTTGCTGTCCACACATGAAAAGTTGTGCCGAGCAGCAACCAAATCCACAGAAGGGTTAATGCTGAGCAGCAATTATGCAAATGGGAACCTGATAACTGCCTTTGGGGTCAAAGACCGGTTACAGCCTATCAGATCTAGAGGAGGGGTATTTAGGCCCAGTTCTCATCCTGCTCAGTGCCCTGTCGTGGTTTCCCTTGTGGTTGTCCGAGAGTGCGTTATTGATTTTGGTTATTTGACTTTGGCATTGTTTTTGACTTCCCTGTTTTCTGGCATCCCTGACTACTGGCTTTTCCTTATCATTGTGTCTCTTTCTGTATCCCTTGACCTCGGCTATTCCTGACTATTCTTTGGTACGTTAGTCCGGCCATTCTATGGTCCGGTATATGTTACCTATCAGTCCTCTGTGTTACACAATTCTACGTGCTGGATCATTCTGTAATCCTGACACCAACGATCCGAGCCAGTTGTCGGAGAGGGATGGAGTCGAGCTTGAGTACTCTGCGGATCTCTTTCCTGATGGCCGTCACTTTGGCAGATGGGAGGTGGAGTGTGCAAGACCTGGAGTCTATCTCGAAGCCCAGGAATTGAATTTTCCGTATGGGAGTCATTGCGGACTTTGCCCTGTTGACGATGAAACCCAGGGACTCCAACAATTGTACTGTATAGTCAGTATGTTGTAAGGCAGAATAGGAGTATGTCGTCCAGGTAAATGATCCCACAAGTTCTGAGGTGGGTCACCACTGGTTTCAGCATTTTTGTGAAGCACCACGGTGCAGAGCTTAGCCCAAAAGGGAGGCAAGTGAATTGCCATGGAAAGCCGTGCCATAGGAACCGAAGGAAGGGACGGCTGTCTTTGTGAATTGGGATCGACAGGTATGCGTCCTTGAGGTGTAGGCGCGTAAACCAGTAGTAAGTGAATGCCTTCCATCTTGAAGTGGCGATAGGTAACGTCGGCATTCAGTTCTCTTACATTTATCACCGGTCTGAAATCCCTGGTTTTCTTGCGGACAAGAAACATGTTGCTGAAGAAGCCTCCTCGCTCGCGCACGGGTTGTATCGCGCCCTTCATGTGTAGTTCGTGGAGCCCCAATTCTATGAGATGAGTGTCCAAGGTGGAGAAGCATAAGGGACGAGGAGGGTGCCTCTGTACGGGGAACGTTCATAGTTCGATGTGGTAACCGTTTGTAGCGGAGATGCAATATTCCCCAGGTTATCTCCGCTTATGATCCAAGTGAGGCTCAGGAACAAGTAAATAATAAATCCACAGGCAAGGTTTCCAGCAGGTAAAATAACAGCAATATCCCCACAGCAATCCCAATAACTGGATGACACACAGTTTCAGGAGCAGAACTGAAAGCTTTAATCCACAGTGGCCTTTTAAAGCATGCTCCCATGCAAGGGAGGGATTTACACTCATTAGTACAGTAGCCAATCCTGTCCTGGTAACCTCCCACACATCTCCTCCCCTCAGCCAGCATCATAATCCCCTTATCCAGTCTAGCAATTCCCCCCTGTTTCTGGATGTACCCCTAAACGTAGGGGTACCCCTTTAAATCCTACATCCCCTGATAGCCCTGATCTGGGTGAGCAACATATCCAAAAATCACCCAGATCAGATCAGGGGTTCGGGAAATTTATGGAGGGAATAAAATGACCGACCGCACTGACTGAAATAGCCGAATACAGTTCCATGCGAATGGGCCCTGCGGTCGGTCCTGGAATAAGGGAACAAACTGCACGAAAGCCTCTAGCTATAGAGGCTAGGGAGGGTTCGCCTGAATCCCCTCATTCGGTTCTTTCTATCTACCGAACGAGGGGCCGTTCGGTAGTTTGGAACCGAACGGACCAGGCTTGTGGAGGTTTCAGCGGTGTTCACCTAGTCGAGTGTCCGATTTGAGTTCCAGACACTCGACGGCAAAACACCGCTGTTCGGGAGTTTTAAAATGGCCCCCCGAGAACAAAGGACGGCTACTTAACTTGTCAATTACCCGTTCGCAACGGGTGATTGAGGACACACTTAACACAGGGGAGGTCTGATTGTTCGGTAGTTTCATTCCCTTAGTTTATTCGAATGATTCTACCGAACAATCAGAGGAATACAATTCTTTTAAAAAACATAGAAAACTAGCAGATCACACGAATGCAGTTATTTCAAAGACATTTGCAGGACAGCCCAGGGCCATCCGCTACACCGTTAACTGTGTGTAACACCCAGGCATCTGTGGGTAGTTTTGCCCAGTTCTGGGAAAAAAGAGAAACACGGCCGGCAGTCATGGTTATTTGAGACATTAATAAGTGTTGGTCTCTTACCTGTGGGGAATCTTGCGCGGGCACGTCCGGGACCACCACGTCCTCTGTCTGTGCCCAATTGGTAGTAGGGGTAGTGTTGCCTAGAGCCTGTGTCCTGGTAGGGTTGCTGTGGGTAAAATTGCTGTGGTTGTCCCATACAGGGCCTGATGGCCAGAATCGACTGGTGGCACGGCCCCTTTTTTGTCGACCAAGTAAAGTGTGGAAAGACAGGGACTGAATGAAGCGTTCAGCAGAACGTAAAACGAATGGCCAAATGCCCGCAGTGTTGAATAATCCACGAACAGAAGATCTACAGTGAAATTGACCGTTTGTGTAAATGGACCATTCGTGCAAAAATAGACGAACGGGTTAGCCTTAGCCGGACCGTTCATGTAGAGAGGCACGAAACAGTGAGTGGCCGCTCTGTTCGTCTATAGTGCGAACAGGTGGGAGAAGGCGGAGGAAGACGAATGCAAGGGTTTCTGACATTCCATTTGTGCCCAAATGCACAAACACAGTTGACTGCCCGCTCTGTTCACACAGAATACAGTGCGAGCAGCGCAGGAAAGGAAGGTGAGAGTGGCGGACGTAACCACCAGAGGGAAGAGGAGAGAGAGGAAACAATGCCGCCTCAGAAGAGGGTCTGAGCAGAGAGAGAATAGCCCCTCCAACAGTTAACAGCCCAATAGTAATACAATAACTAAGGGATCCCCTGCCTCCCCCAGGAAATGTAAACTAAATTCAATAGTCTAACAGAAGACAATAACACAATTGAATAGTTTTTTTTTTCAATATATAATCTTTATTCGGAGACATCAACTCCGCATTTTTTTTCTTTTTTTGACACAATAGAATTAACAACAGAGAAAAATACAATTAACAACACATCCCGTAAAAAACATGTACAGTGAGACACACATAACATCCTTAACCTCATTACTTTTTTCACATAAGTTTGAAGTAGTATAGATACGTTTAGTGAAACACCTATGTTGTTTAAAAATCTCACTGTAAACAACACACATACAAAATGACATAACAGGACAAAACATCAGATGGTCATATGAGGTCACTCTTAATATAGTATCAATATTAACTTAGGTCCAAAGAAATTTTGGACATCTATCTATAAGTCAACAACAGCCTCCAACTTCGCCACCCAGAAGTTATAGCGTTCTTGATATTTTATATTTAACCCAGCTTCCATTTTCAATTGATATTTAATTTGTTCCTTAACTACGGGCCATGAGGGCACCAACTCCATTTTCCAATACCTTGCGATAGAAAGTTTCGCGGCTAGTAGTATATGCAAGATAACCGGCATTGAACTACCACTAACCTGATGGATATCTAATTGCAAAAGGCATATCTGTGGTACCATAGGTAAATCAATCAAAGTAATAAGTTTTATCTTAGATAAAATCATTTTCCAAAACTTCTGTATATACCTACAGTCCCACCATATGTGT